ATAAGCTCAAATATATCTTCGAGCCTCTTCTTTTCCGGCTTTAGGATTGGCTGGGTTGTCATACTTTGATTTTAAAAGTACCACTGGTTGACGTGTTATCAAACTCCGATTACTTGTGGCACCTTTAGTTGTGAGCCCGATGTCATCTGATAAAGCTATTTTTAAACTGTAAATCTCTTCCCTGTCGGAACCTTGTTTATCATTTTTCTACTTCAATTTTTCCATATTGTGATATTTTACGGTATTTTTGAGTGCTTTATCTCGTTTGATGCTATAATTTATATTCATCATGACCGAATAGACTCTTAAATTATTTAAGATCAAGACTCTTTCAAACCCTCATTTCGGATAATGCCATTCTGACCTGATAACATAGAAGCCTGATTCTACTAGAAAAGAGCTGACTTCAACAAGCACGACGTGAAAGATTCACGTACACAATTTCTTACAGGTACGTCACACCTAGTATGTTTACTATTATTGTTTCAAAAACTTACAAAACTCTGAAAAGAGATATTTTTAAGCGTGGAGATACAACCAACCGACAAAAGTTGGACCAACGTTTCCACAACATCAAGCCGCAACATAGCTCAGCAACAGAAATGTTGCTACGAATGCGAGAGGTCAATATTCAACGAATACTTAGCGAGGGCCTGTTTGGACAGCACCTCTTGTCTTAGGTTCCTTAACAGGTGGGGGCTGTACTTGCCCCACTTCAAAACAACACTGTGAACGAACTGGCTGCATCTGCCAACTGGATTCTGGAGATCACTAAAACCCCCCAACGTCGAGGTCTATTCAGCCAAAGAAAAGCCTAAAACGACACGAAATGGCATCACAGACCGTTATCATACTCCGACATGTTCTTATATTCATCATTACCGTATACACTCCTAAACTCCTGAAAGGAATTCTTCACGAAAACGACCTGTCTGTAAATTATAGGAGACAGACAACCCTGATTGGTGCTGGCACTATAGTTAGTATGAAAAGCCTTAAAATTGCAGATAAAAATGTAGTTTCTCTAATTCCAAACCACCTGGCACGAGAAACGCTTCAGAGAAACTTTTCAGTCAGCATGTGTCGATGGCAACCGTACTCGGTGAACATGGCCGTCTGTTATACATCTTTTACGCATGAAGTTAATCCTCGTTCTATTGATATAAGAAACCATACTAATGGTGAATAGGTCCTTATTTTGACCGTAGGGAAATCATAGTAGAGCATTCTATATAAAATAATAGGAAATATAACGCCCTCACTAAATAAAGTGAATGAATAATTGAGCTTTATTGTGTTGACATGTACTTAGTTTACCTTGTGACACGGGTGGCGACCTTTGAGGAGCTTCCACTAAGGGCACCAAAAACATAAAATTCTTTAAGTTGGTATCAGTATGGCTAAATGTAAAATGGCAGAGATCAAAATTTGTGCCCGGTGCGAAATGATGATCATGACCATTGCTGCAATTGTACTCGCCCTCAATTCCACGGGAAATCAAGTAAACATGCAGGGTATTACACTATTCTTATGTAGTAAGGGAGATAAACCAGAAGGTTAATGGACCACTTACATCACAAGAAACATCAATACCTCGGTTTTGCCTATATCCGCACTTGGTGAATTACAGGGGTACAAGTGATAACTCGTCGGTGAGAACGATACGAAATTTCCGATCGGACTAATGTATGGTACTTCCACAGGCTGTGACACAATAACAACTGATACTGCGGGTACTATCGTTATTACCGAACCTGAGATGTGACAAGATAGATCTGGATGATGGCTTTGTCACCCACAAACATAGTCTTAGGAAGGAATATGCAGCACCTGTCCGATTGCCGAGCTTGCGCCAAAAGTGCAGAGCTGATTAGCTTTCAGTCGAAAGCATTTATAACCGTGAACCATATGAGTAGCAGCGATTGCACTGCGATCATGTTCGTAAGAGTTCTCGTTAAAACATTCAATTCATATAATAAAGGTGACTTGACTATATGGCTATAAGGTGTTGTTTTCAACACGCCCCATGCCTCTGAGGTACTGGAAGGCAGTAAATAGCATTGCTAAAAAGGCCGCCTTGGAAAATATGTTAAGTTTATATTTGTTTGGGGATCCCCCAAACCCCTCGAAAAAAGCCGTAAAAGGCTCTGAAATCTCTGAGAAGCATCTTATCCAATCAGAACTCACTAGAAGTTTTGCCAGGAACATCCAGCAAGTGAAAAGTCACATGTCGGGTTTCCGATTGGATGATTGCCTATACTGCTACTATGTTAATTAGCGTTTCAAACGAACCTTGAAGTAAAGCGTTCTTTCCTTATTTCGCGCCGTTTTTCTCGTGTTCATGTCGCTGTATAGGTTTAGTGTGCGGTTACTAGAAAAGCTTAGGAACTGAATCTAGCGTTCATTTAGAAGACGTGTCAATGCTTAACCTTGTTACATGGTAAACAGAAGGACTTTTGGATTGGTGTTATACGGCTGATAACACAACATAAGGAGAAAGTGAAGTGTTCTAAACACACGTTTATGAAACAAAAGCATCTGATCATTCAACAGAGAGAAATAGGAAATTTAATGCCCACTTCGAACAAACAGATGACTATTTCGTCCATTATGTTTTATTCCTGACCAATAGTTAACACTCCTTTTTTAATCACGTAATTTTGGTTGATACATATACTGGACAGTATTGGTATAATCGAGTTAAGAGAACATCCTGGATAAAGTGTGGCAGTAAAAGTTTATACAAACAGGGAAACATGAAACATGAAGCAGGCTTCAGTTCAAGGTTTCGACCACAGCTCATACTTAGGGCTACGACAAGAGTGTGAAATAGATGTTTGAAAGCATAGGAGTAATTTTCAAGCAAACCGAGATTTAGATTAGAGCGACTATATCAGTTCATGTCACATAGGAAAGCATGGTACAGGAAAGTTTGTTGTCACCGGGTCTTAATGTACTACTCGAAATGAACTGGGTGCCACTAACGTCTCTACTGGGCACTTTGACAAAGAACCGAACCAACAAGTTCGGATCGATACTCCAGCACTGAAGATAGTCGAGAGCGTTAACTAACCAATGCTTAGACCAGTGTCAGGAAAGTTATCAGATTTGGAAACCGGTAAATTGCTGGTTTATGGCCTTATGAACTCCACAATGCTGAGGGAATCGGTGTGCATTCCTTATCACCGACAAATCGATACATTTTTAACACTCCTTTAAATCCAAGCAATTGATGAAGGGTGAAGTAGAGCAAACACCCTTCTGATTTCAAAAGGGGCAAAGGGCGAACCAGATCTGCTACTGACACATAGCTCTGCTGCTAGTACCGTTGAAATTGTCAGCAAACCAGGCAGGTGATCAGATGGTGGAGTTCGTCAGCAAAATAACCATCTTAGGAAGCATAGCACGGGATAAGGAAGTCTAGGTACTGTGCGACAAACATGCTGCAATCAGTGGATGGTTGAGCACACTGCTAGGATCTTAAAGCGTTCATATTTGTATCTCTCGGACCTCTCGGACGTGAATGATATAATTCCGAACATCGTCGAATCTACTTTCTTGGCTATCGAATTATTATCAGGGCTGAGCGTTCTGTACCAAAGTTAACAGATTACGTTCGAAGCGTAAAACGTTCACGCCTGATGTATCAACAGGAGAAATGCGAGGCCATCTACTCTATCTCGTTTGTTAATCAAAGGCCCTCAGTAAACACCAGTTCCCCAGTACCTACTCACGTGGACACGAACTGTGGAGAGTACCAGATTGAAGATGCTTACAAGACCTCTGAAGAGACTTAGTGTCCCCGGAAAAGTTCAGACGTAGTAGTATTTCGATATTCAACCTCTATAAATGTAGATGAGTAGTATTTAAAACGATAAAAGAATAAAGAGAATACGTACTCTGTGATCATCGCTTCTATGAAATGCCAACGGAGTGTGACCTATGTATGTTACTGTCAGAGGGCATAGATAGCAGTGACAAACTCTATGGAGGGCGACACGAACCATAAGTTGGTTTTCGTTCGGATGAGTCGTGCTGTACATCTCATATGACAACTAGTTAGCTTTGACTACATGCGCTTAACCATATCAACCAGCATTCAAATAGGACTTCGTATTATTTCATCCTCCATAGGCTTGCAGTGGGCGTCGCATTGCAGTTGCCTATGATCACAACTACAGATCGATTACTTGCCGATTACCAGGTTAAACCCCTCCGTAGGACAAATAATAGAACGCGGTCGTAATTTGTAGTTAGGATGTATTTGTTGGCGATCTCGTGGTATCGAAATAATACTGAAATCGTGCCAGAATCCGCAAGCAAGACTACCGTGCGTATCTGAGTGGGTTCAAGGTCACAAAAAACCGAAAAAGTGTGTTTTTGGTACAATTAAACAAAAAGGTACAGTAAAACAATCACTGGTAGAGTTCGTTATGAAAATAAATGTTTCCATTACACCAATCGTGTTCTCTTCATAACAGTACATCACTATAGGATTCAGGTCCCTTGTTCGAGAACTGTTTGTGGGAAGTTGAACTGATAAACACTGCGTACGTGTGGTATTTTCACAATTTTTGGCCTGGAATAGAAATAGGATGTATCCAATAACGCGGAAAGATGTTGTTAACATTTAATTGTCTTCCATGTTGCATATCTTATAGAAAAATTCATTTTCATTGTTATCACTAACCTACCCTATCCGTTTCTCTTCTTGTCAGCTTCGCTTATCGGATAATCTTATACTGCTGTTTGTTTATGAAGTTTGCTTAGTTAACCTGTTGACTACTCCACATCATTGTTTTGTCATTCCTCTGTATTCTAATTGTACAACCATAATATCACAATAAATTAATCGTCTCTATATAATTTAGTAGTTGCTAGTTCCATTATCTTAAAAATTGTTTTAACCAGACTGTAGATATGCGGACCACAAAATAACAGTCGACTTCGCTTGTGTTAATGCTGGTGAACGGACAGACTTTCTTTAATTGGAAGCCACACAAGACCTGAAACTGCATCATAGATCTAAAAACTTATTTCAAAGAAACCAGCTAACTTGCACCAGCTCGTAACAATGATCATAGCTGTATTAATTTTCATAACTATTTTCACAGCCGGTTTTTTCGTTGACTCAAAAGTAGTTCAAGGTCAGTGGTTGTCGTAGCACCACCACGGTAACTTTTGAAAAATGCACGAATGTTTGAGAGCAAAATGTCATATCCTTGGTTGGTGTTCAGTGATCGTAATTAAGTGTTTAGGAAGCCCATATTGTGGAAAAACATCAATTGTTCAATCATTTTGTAGTGGTGGCCTGGACTTCCCAAAGAACTATCTTATGGTAGCTGTGATTATTCAAATACCATTAAGAACTCCAGTCTAAGACGGTTGAATTCGTTGTAAAAACAATGACAATACCAGGAGTGGATGAAAACATCGTGCGGTAAAGTGAACAGTAAAGAACTTATTTCCTAGGAATTGTTCTTATATAATATCCCAGGCAAAGAGGTTTTTCAGGATCCCATGAATCATTATGTAGGACATTAATTATTTTTATAAGGGTAGATTAATATGACCAACCTTATCGTTGTTGTTTTTGATGTAACTAACCAGGAAAGTTTCTCCAGTGCAAAGCTTACCCTGACAGAATTACGGAAACCTAATAATATACGTATACCGGGTAAGAGTACTTTATTATCATATACCTGGCTTCTAGTCGTTCTTGTGGGAAGTAAAATAGACCTTAAAGAAAAGTATATCAACAATGTGGAAGAAGCCCAAGGGTTTGCGGATGATCTAGGCATTCCGTATTTCGAAGCTTCTGCTGTAAGTCCTTATTTTTGGTTTATATGGCATCTAGTGTGCACCATTCGTAGTAAATACTGATTCAGAAAACATCTTTGAAATATATGTTCCCATATCATGAGTCAGTCGGAGTTTAAACTTTGTAATACATTCATCTATCTGGTCTGATATGCTACCATAAATGCCAGTTGTTAGCAGGTTTATATCCAACAGATGAATTTCTTGTTTTAAAAAAAGTGGGGAAGTAAAATAACTCAGCCAGGACGAAAATCTTAAGGGTACAAGGACGAGCATATCAGAGTTAGTATCTCACTAAAAAAGCAGAATAATGATGGAAAGACGATAACCGTTACTTAAAAGAGTGCAAACATGAATCCAAAACAATTCAAAAGATAAAATATCAAAATTATTCAGGTTTTAGAACCACTACACAACGACCCATTCGAAATTCCAATGAATCCGTAATAGCTAATAGAAAATTTGTGAAGTATGGATTTCTGAATGCCCGAATGTACATACATACACTATTATTCTGTGATAATTATTGTCGATACATTAAATACTGGCAGAAGGATTTGCCTGTGTTCACGACTACACCTTGGAAGTGTTGAAATATTCGAGTTTAATCAGAGTTAGCAACCTTTACTGATATACAATGGTCATCAAGATCAAGTACTGTTAACTGATGTACAAATGTGTGCAATGAGTTGATCTTTTGCTAGAAGCGTTCTTTTTATTTATCACTGTTATCTAGTCGGTTATATTCGCTAGCGTTAGTAACAAAAAACTGACAGACGTAAACTGCTTTTCGCCTCAGACTATGATATATATTACTACTTGGGATACATATAAAGAGATATTCGATTTTACGAACCAAACGTATCATGCACTTTTCCGGTGTTTTGCCCGAAAGTCAGCATCAAGGTACAGATTTTAGTTATGGAGTTTGGAGAGCAATTGATTTGTCCTAAGATATTTTGTGTCCGTTCTAATGATTAAGTGACTTTTGTGGTGCCTTACAGAGATTGCCAAATCTTTTAATATTGTAAGTAAATTGGGTGATTTACACAAAGTTTAAATTGTGTATATAACTAACACATTTCTGAAACATTTGGATTAATTTGTTTAATTATGAATTTCGGAGTCTCAAATCCAGTAAAAGAATATCGTTTTAATTATTGTTTCCTAACCTGCTGCCACGGATAAATAAACATTTGGTAACAATAACAGTAATAATTATGGTGATGTTACATTTTTTATTATGACAAGACTTCATCTCAAGTTCACTAATTTACTGTTAGGTATAGGTAAAATTATTTTTCCTAAAGCACTGAGCAGTCGCAAACCTATTTTGGGGGTGAGAACAACACTGGAGACATCTTAATAAGCCGCGTATGACTTATTTTATTTAACATTTAGGTTTATAGGAGACACAGCCACATAATTTCATTGGCATTCAGTAACATTTGGATTTGGTGATTTTTTAGGGAATTTTGTATATATACCTATAAGACAATTCGAGGTCTTATTCAGGAGTCAATAATTACTTTTTTTGTTGGTGGAAATAAGTACGCGAACGTATGTCATGAAATTTCATTTTAAAATATTTAGGATGCACTAACCTTACCTCCTTCAAGATGTTTCTTATGTCTAACAATACAATTGTCCCATTTCTATCTTGAATGTCCAAAATATTTATAAAATTCCCCATAAATCAGACTCTTGCGCTGCCCATAATCTGTTTTTACACAATCCTAATAGCCCCAAATTTTCTCTAAAATCGAGTTCATACTCGGATTCTCCGAAATTTCACAAGCAATCATCCGAATAATGAAATAGTGATCCAAAAGCAAAAGAAACTCCAGATGTTCGATATTTACCTTAACCTAATAAATCGATGATTGTCTTCATCTAGAAGCAATTTTGCAGCCTTCACGGTTTGCACTAGAATGTTTGATTCTTTTAGAATGAGGTACTAACTTCAGTAGGTTGTCTCTATAAACAGCGATCAAAACTTCATGAATATTTTACAGACATTTCTTCAAGTTTCACCGTAAACCATCATAAATCTCTTCGCGCGTTTATTAAATACATTATATTTTGTGATAATTGTTTTAAAACTTTCAGAAGGAAGCAGTTGGTATTGATGTCCCTTTTCTACATCTCATTAAGGAATATTATGAACTGTACAATGATGCAGTCAATGACTATCAAACTTTAGTATAATTACTATATATATCTTCAATTGGTGTAACACGTGTTTTTTTTCACTGACGGTTGGGATGTTTGATTCTATGATGGTTCTTCAATGAGAAACAGCTTTGGAACATTTTAGCACTAAACTGCAGTAACCTGAAAGTAAATGAATAGTCTTTGGGTGATAATGATGCCCATATTAGGTTGTGTCTATTTCCATAATAAAATGTGAACCCTAGTTGTTGCTGAACATTTTATTGTATTTATGATGTTAATTTGATCGTTTTAATTGCTCTGTTCTGTACAAATTAAGCATATTAGAGACAAATGCCGTTACATTGATGTCCTGTATTCAGACAAAAAAATCGACATTCATGTAGAGTTAAAAACTGATAAAATACTGTATACATATTCATTTTGAGAATAGAAACAGAAAAATCATGCATCGCCAGTTATACTTGTTTATTTAGAAATCAAAAGGAGGAAAACCGTATACATCGAACGTCCTAAAACTGTTTTTGTTTATAATAAATCTGGTGATTCATTGGCCATTATTGTACAGTTCAGGACATTTTAATCTCAGTTCCTGCCCCTCATATTAGCGTAGCAAAAGAGAAGTTGAAGATGAACGAGGAATAACATCAAATACAGTTAAATGCTAGGAAAAAAATTAATTAAATGGAACAATAAGATAGAAGACTAAAATGATGTGAATGTTGTGAATTCAAGTTAGTATAGTTATAGCACTATTTGTTGATGATGAAAGAAATAATTACGTAGATACATTTACAGAGAAAATCATGCAGACGAAATAATATAATGAGGTAGCTACAGGTATATTTAGATGACTTCAACTCCCCAGTAAATATCTTGAAGTAGCAAACGAGTTCATGAAGTAAAATTAGAAGTCACCAATATTATGATTAATCACCAAATCACAAAGTTTTTAAGACGATTGTTTAAGGTTTATGTTTAAAATGATATACAAAACGAGCTAACTATGCTTGGGATTAAGTGTTATGTGGAGTATGTGAATTTTAAGTCATAAGTATATATGTAAACCTTAAACATTTCATTTATATAATATCATTAAAGGCTGTTGGTAGGAAGCCTCGGATCTAAGTTTTGTGGTGGTTGACACACGTTTGCTAAACACATATATTTCTGAGGGAACTAATGTTCCTATAGAGTTCTGAATTGATGTCAGTCATTGACGCTATCAATAACTTATTCAGACTACAATTAACCGTTTGTACAGTTAGGATATCTGCTCCAGCCAACCCAAAGTCTGCATCTATAGCTTTCTAATGATCGCCTACGTTAGGTTTAATCACTCAGTCTGAGTAAAAGGATTTTGTTGTTTTCATTTAGTTAATCTTATAAGCTACTCTAAAAAAGCAAGAATTGATAAGTCATGTAAAATTACAAGTACTATGATCGTTTGACAAGAAATTTGTATTTGCTCACTATTATTATTTATAATTGGACTTAACCAGTCTGTCTCAATAAACTCCTTACAATCATCAGTAAATACCATAACCGCTGAACGAGTAGGTGGCTATTTGTGGTAAACAAGTAATACATTTACTGTACAATTTAATATTTTGTGATCCACTTAAATCTGTTTTAAATTACAACAACTTCGGATTCGAGCTTTCACTTGTCTTGTCGAAGTTCAGGATTTGCAGTATTTCGTAAGATCATTTCAAATTTACACCATATGACAAGTCTTTAGTGTTTGAATCGATGGGAATCATATTTGAACCTAAATATGAAGAACAACAAATAAAACCAGGTACATTTTACCAATGTATCTTAAAGTGACCAAAGTGAACGTCTTGAATAACACCTCTAAGTACTGTTTAAAATATTCCAGAAACTTAGCAAGTCATACTCAGCATCCTGCATATAACTTTTTTTCTGAGTTTCGTACAATAAATTTCAATACATTCGTTTGCGGTTTGTGCTTCTTGAAGATTAAAAAAGGCTGTGATATGCCTAAATTTGATAAGTACATGAAGTAAAGAGTGTATTTCTTATATAATTTGTCATAATTTCTAATAACATAAAATAAAAACAAAAGAATATGTCAGTCATCTTCAAAAGAATATTAAAAGCCGATTCGTTTCATCTTGTGTGGTGGTCGGTATTCGATATAATCCTTAAACTTCGTATACAGTTTGTCTTGGTAACCGTCCTTTATAACGCCCCATCGGTATATTAATCAGAAGGCGAATACGAAGCGTTGATTACGTTTATTACAGGACCACACACACAGATATTCAAAATTACAGATGCGTTAAACAAGCATAGAAGAGTTGTGCCGAAAGGCAAGCGAGTGAGTCAACAAATATGAATACGAGCTAGCGTGTACAATTAAGCGAGCGAGTGCGAGAGCAAGAGAGAGAGAGAGAAATGAATATGAATGACATGGATATATATATATATATATATATATATATATATATATATATATATATATATATATATAGTGAAATGAATGAGTCATCGAATCAAATAAGTGGTTAGTAGTAAGACTAGCATAGTGAATAGATGCGAGGGCCGTAAGCAATATTCAGGCATACATGTTCATACATTCGCAATGGTAATAAAGACACAATGATATAGATATATTGTTGTTAGGATGACTCAGTTCGTTAAGATGTTAATAAAATGACTTGATTGAATTAATTGTGAACATACTCAATTTCACGTGATCTGTTATACTTGTTCTACATTCATAAATGGTTTTTGTTATAGACTTACATCAATCTGAAAACCTATTGAAATAAGAAGGCTTTTCTGGACATCTTTTTAGTCCTAGTCTGGGACTCTTTAACAGCGAACACCTTTAACCTCTCCGACGATTCAACCCAGAACCTTCACATTTCACAGTGAACACATTACCTTTAAATCACTGGGTCCAAACTAACTGCTCCAGAGATTTCCAAATTACATCACTTCGCAATATGTCACGATGATCATTTAATCCCATTAGTGGTGACTATCTCAGAGCGAACACTGTAAAGTGTGATTGATAAAAGAACCCACCAATCATAACACGAAACGTCCACCACCACATTAACTTTTTTTTCACTTCGTATGACTATGCCTTGTTTATACCCCAATCACAATTTCATGTTCATTATAAAACAATATTCGCATCTAATAGTTGAATTCATGAGTCAATTGAAGCTCCCAGGTTTTTCATGATGATCTAGATTCAATTGACTCATGAATTCAACTACTAAATTGGACATGCCAAGTTCACCATACCACAGAATCACCAAATGGTTAGCGGAATAATTTGAACCGGTTAGAAGGCAATTATGTAAATATTCTGTTCATGATACTTTTCAATTTATTGATCGTATTAAGGACGTTAATACTTCCGAAAAACACATGTTCTCGCTTGACGTTAATTCTTTGTTCACTAGCGTACCTTTAACCGAAACGATATGTTATATATGTGGGTACATTGATTCTAACAACATAGATCTAGGTTTGCCAACTGAACACTTGAAAGAACTATTGTTATGCTGTACTTTTAATGTCCAGTTCAGTTTCAATAATGAAATATATAGACAAAGGGATGGGATCGCAATGGGGTCTCCATTGGGTCCAATTTTAGCAGACTGTTTCATGGCAAAAGTAGAAAACGACCAACTCCGTTCAATGATCAATCGATTCCACCTATACGTGAGATACATGGACGACACGTTTGTGACAATAATATTGATTTAGATGATATTCTACACACCTTTAACTCATGCCACCCTTCCATAGACTTCACGTTAGAAAGGGAACGAGACCAATCAATTCCTTTTCTCGATGTACGTCTGATGAGAAAGAGTAATGGTTCTTTAAAAAGATCCATCTTTAGAAAACAAACATGGAATGGCCAGCTAACCAACTTTTATAGCTGGGTTCCGTTAAGTAGGAAAAGAAACCTTATTCATTCTTTATGTATCCAATACATCAGATATGCAGTACGGAATGCATTAACGAAGAACTCGCATTCCTCAAGAAAACCTTGACGGAAAATGGTTACCCAAAACGGTTCATAGAAAAGAATATGAATAGAAGCAGTTACGACAAGAAATCTAGTTGTTCCGTTCCGAAGAAAAACCTTTATATAAGTCTGGAATGTAAAGGTGATCGAACATCAGATGTAATCAAAAATCGTCTAACAACAACTATTAGAAGAAAATTTAACGCGGCAAAACTGCGAATAACCTTCACTAGTAGGAACTTATTTTCTGTATCCATAAAAGATAAGCTTCCACGTCTGGTCGCCTCCATGTGCATCTACCAGTTCACCTGCTCTTGTGGAGCAAGGTACATTGGCCGTAGTCAGCGCTCGTTTCCAACTCGGATACGGAAACATATCCCAGCTTGGTTCTATAAGGGTGAAAGGAAAGCAGTTAGGAGTTCTATACTGGAACACCTAATCGACTATAACCATTCTACAGATCCACAAATTGATTTTAAGGTTGTTTATATGATTCGTTCAAATCTACCCAGATTTCTTCGTATCCAACTCTTAAAAAAAGCCGAAGCTCTTACCGTCCAGGAGCTTAAACCAGAACTATCCGTACAAAAGAAGTACGTCTTATCGTTATCGTTACCATGGCCTTAATTATTCTGATTATCCTATTATTATTATTATTATTATTATTATTACTATTATTATTATTATTATTATTATTATTATTATTATTGCATTCCCCCCCTTTACTTATGTCTCATATTCTCATTGTTTTATTCATAAATACTCATCATATCACCTTATTTATTTTTTACACCTCTATGACCTTTAATTATTATAACAAAAACATTTGAATCATTTTAATCATCTTATTATATTCACTAAATCCATTGTTATTGTTATTATTCGTATTACGTAATCTAGTATTATAACCCCCTTTTTATTAACTGTGTTCACATTTCCTCACGGAATTAGTACTTTTACAAAAACAAAATTTTCATACATACACGATTGTACAGCTTGATAATAAATTCGTTGAAAAGAGATCCCTTCGCTGAAATTCGTGTTTTAATTTTAATGTTTAAATGGGAATTATCTGTCAATACTATAATATCCACAAAACCCCTCTATGATGATAATATTCACTTTGTTGACTTACTTTTCCTATCCTCTAGTTACTGTTCAGTATATTATTTATGTCGCTCCTTTTCCTTGTTTAATGGACTGTATTGTTTATTTTGTATACTAACAGTGTTAATTTACGTTTTAGAAACAGATAAAGTTTATCGAGCCAAGTAGCTTAGTTTTTTTGACGTTGTCTAAGCTAAGACTCTGTGCTCGACAGTCTAGAGCATAATTCAGAATTACACCTGTAGGAAATTACTTCCTACAAACATTTAAATGAATTCAGTTTGGTAGGTGGAAAAAATGAAAGAAGTTAAGATAGAAGTAACAATGTTATTATTAGTAATTACTATTATCAAAATAGTAATTATGGCTCATCGCAATTCATTAGTTAGGATGAAAAGGGGAAATTAAATGCTCGAATTATTGCTAAGATCATAAAAAGTTTAAGTAAAGGTGAAAATATTGACATTTTATTTAAAAGCGATACTAAATAGAGTACAGTTTAAAAAATAAGGAAAATATACTGTTCAGTTGAATGGAATGTTGACGGCAATCTTTTTCCAGGTTTTGTATGACAAAGTAGCGCCATTTATTTCATAAGGGAAAATAACATTTGAACGGTGGTAACAACGCACATAATTGTTTGTCCAGAAAATATTCACCAGAAAAAAGCAAACGAGCATTTCAGAAAATGTAAACTTAGCACTTTTGAGATCGTAGTTCTGTTGACTGAAAAAAAGTTTCAATTGGTTTATGTGTAGGTATTTTTACAAAATTACCAATGCTCTAGCTATGGATAACTTATTACTCTTAGAGTATTCCAGTGCAGTGTTGAAAAAATAGTTATAAAAGACTTTTTCGGTCGATATTGTTAGAATGCAACCATAAGTACTGCACAACATGATATCGGGTTATTATTTAATGGTCAGTTGGATCAATTATTCCTGTATTAAAACGGTTTGTTATGACCCGGATAACTCACTTGTAACGTCTTTGACACCGGTTAGCACTAGTCTAAATTCTACTAATAGTATTAGTGTCTTCAGATACACCTGACTAATTTGGGTCAAATATCACAGAAAATAACTCCAGGGCTTTGGACCGATGACTTCAAACTGCGTACAAGATAATATCTGTGTAAGTAATTTAGGGTATGGAAAAATCAGACATAGAAAAGCAAATTAATTTTCCTTATAATACGAGAAAAAGGAACAAGCTTGGTTATACCGAACAAACATCCTACCAATTAAGGATTCAAATAAGCCATGATGGAGTACTGACTTAATGTTATTGCTAAGTGAATTCTGTTTCTCAAGGCGATTACCTAGTTCATGAGCTAGCTTCACCTATGCATTTTTATTTGAATTTAAATATATTCCCTTATATAGATCTTAGTGCTTTAAATGTCCAGACAAACGATCAGGCCTAAATAACAGCATCTCCAAAGTTGCAGGCGAATTCATAGTTTTTAGGTTTTCTCGTATATAAGAAAGTCGGGTTATAAATATGAAAAACAGAGACTTAGGACGTTCACTTGTTGATTTTCTTAAAACCTCAATAAGATGATTTTTGGCTAGTTAACACACTAATGAATAATTATTTAATTAAAGGTGGGTTTTTTTACGGAATGATATAAGTCTGATGAGTTGAAAAACACTGAACATTCATTTCTTTTCGTTTTACAACTAACAAGAGTAACATTATTGTACGCTATATTTAACGTTAGATGGTCGAGAATGGTTCATGAAAAGCAGTAGATCAAAGTTTTGTTTAGGTCAAATCTCCTTAGCAAGGCGCATCTGGAATACTGAGGAACGCAATGTACCATAACCCCAAGTCATTTAACATTGCGACAGTAAACAAAGCCGACGGAATTTAATCATATAAACGATACGAAATTAACTATTGATAATTGACAAATGATTTTGTAATTCACAATCATTCAGAAGGTCACTACTAGCTGGAATTGCTGAATGTTAATGTTTGTGATTCTGGCTTAGGTCTCCAAAGGAGCATCATTCCCTTGAATTGGGACATAGATCCGGATAATGAGTCCTAACCAACAGTTAATTTGTCAAGTTGCAGAACACTGTGAAATCCAAGATGGTGCAAATCGGTAGATTTGAGCTATCATTTGTTGATTTTAGTCTTTCAAAAACTTTTAAAATTATTCAGACCTATTTGTTTATTAAGATATGTGACACAATTTCGGAGACATACTTCTCACAAATATCACTAATATCAATGATTAGGAATGAAGAAAAGAAATTAGTAATAAAATCTACCAAGTTTTATTCCTAAGTATCTATGACCAAATTTAAACATCTTACAATTACATACAAACATATTTTTACAACCAGGAACGTAATTAAATAAATGTTAAGTTATTTATTATTTATAATAAGAATTTGAACTTACCGGAAATTTTTGAGATCACAATGATAAGTTTCATTTGAAGTAAACATAAAATTTCAAAGTTGTTGATATTTTCAGAAAAAACTAATATCATTGAAGTAATGTATTAGCAAACTGGTGAAGAAATATATATTGCGCCTGAAATTGATGTAAAACAACAGAGAACAGTCATTTTTCTATAGATTGTCTGATATTAAGACAGCTTGATATCCACAATTAAAACAAACTAGAAAACCAATAAAAACACGAAAATATTGAATTGTTGTTTCGTCCTAAGTTGAAACTCTTCGACAGTGCAATTCACAGAGGGTAGAATCTCAGGTTCATCACTAGTGATTAATTTTGGAACGATTTCATATGCAGAAGATATTATTGATAGAATACATTCCCGATGACAGTCAGTTAGATATAACCTAATAATATTGTGCAATGATTGACTTTCAAAGATATAGACAACTAGATTGTGACTTAATGATTTAACAGCATCGTGTTAGCTGCGGCAGTACTGGATTCGATGCCATATGGGTGCATGAGTTTACTTATTTATTTAAGTACATGATATTAGCCCCAAAAGAGCACCAAAACAAATGCATGCCATAAAATAAGGAAATGCGATTGTGAAGGGGTAAAGAATGGAGGATGTGTATAACTCAAAAGAATAAATGAATAAAAGTACGTTAAGAAGAGTCGCATATAAAACAGTTCAGTTTATATATATATATATATATATATATATATATATATATATATATATATATATATATACATATATATATAACCAAGAAGAATCCCTTCAGTTAGAGAATATCATCCTAATTTAAAAGAAGTAAAACGAAGTTACGACAGGATCGCCACTGGCTTTTATTTTCAGGCGTGAGCGACATCTCGGAACCCAACCAGAGAATTCTGAAAAACCGATAGACGTCATTCCTGTACAATTCCCTTGCATACTGCACAAAAGTGTAACAAACTCATTAACTTTCCCTTTTACCAACCAGTCGAAGGATCGGAAAATAATGCACGATATGCAACTCTCTGGGACAACATCCGTAACACAAAAGATGGTGGCAGCAATTTGATCACTGTCACTGTGCCTGAACACATGCTGCTGAACTTCTGCATTTCTAACATGGCGTTATCACTGAATGTCGGCAATCCTTCATAGACAATGATAATTGAACGCAGATAGTCGCTTAACATGTTCAGCTGGAAAATGACAGGTTTCGCAAGCATAGAACGAAACTGCTCACGCCGACGCATTGTAAATCTGTCCTTTTACAGCCAGAATTATATAATGAGGTAATCAAACATGGCCTAGATTGGCATAAGCCTCTCTAACTTTCACTATACGCATAATGATCTCATCACTCACGTTACCACACGCACTCAACCAGGTACCCAGATAAACAAACTTTTCGACTAGTTCTGAAAGCTCATCAAAAACATTGAGTATAGGTACAGACTCCTGTCAGTCTTGTAAAAGCACCTTGGACTTAGAAGGTAAGAACTACGTGCCAGGCCTACGGACGCTCATCGCCAACTAAATAAGTGCGCTTTTCACAACTTAAGTATCACCCACAGTAAGAAAATATCATCCGCATACTCAGGTTTGAAAGATCTTTCCTCAGATGACAGAAACACACCAACATAGCCCAATTTCATCAGAGATGTTTCTAGGGTATCGTCGTTGGCAAGGTTAAAGAGGAGCAGTGAGAATAAGCGACTTTAACATATGCTGAGTTTTAGCAAGGGAGAGAAGTGGTTTTATACTAAGGTATTTGTATACAGTGCTTAAGATGTTAGTAAGCTTTTCAAACACTCTTTTTTTCAGCAGACAACCCCAGAGTACGATCCTGTCCAACAAATCAAATTTCACACCGCTGACGAGTACTACACCAACGTAAAGTATCTATCCACTTTCCCTAAGCTTTTATCATTTGTACAACTTCTTTCTTGTGTGAGAAGCAACTTGGTTAAAAGTGGTGATTGTCCAAACGTGTCACAGACATCAAAACATTTCCGTAATGCTGGCTACAGGATTCCCTTCAATAGTTAATGGATCCCATTGCAAAACTACATTTCTTATGACAAGATAAGCAATAATATTTTTTATGCAGTCTATCGGAACATATGAGGAAAACGTCTTGTGCCACCAAGCTTCGCATTGTCCCTTCCAGCCGTCAAATAACTCCTAAATGTGTCAAACAACAAACTCTCGCATTGGGCCACACCAATGTGTATTTATAAGTTCACTGGCTCATGTAAAGGAGGTTACATAAGTCACACAATGCGAGCGCTTTCCAAACGCATGTCCGAACATTATTTCGGCTTTCTTTTGAAAGGTAAATGTAAGTCAATCAAGAGTTCAATATTAGAACATCTTGTGAACTCCAGTCACATGGCCTTACCTGATAACCACGTTAAACTTGTCTATACAGTCAGATGATTTAGTTCAAAAGGAGTGAAAATTAATAACCTTTGCACTTCAGAGGCCCTAGTAAAACAATATTTTCAAACCTGTAATCTGTTTGCGAACGATTAAATACCTAATTAGATAGTTCTTTATAAATGCCTGCACTTTTGATGATGGTTGTAGTAGTTCTCCAAGTTTCAGCTCCGTACAAAAAAACTGTCTTGACGTTTGTATTGAAAATTATAATTTTGTTATTGACTGAGAGTTATTTTGAGTTCCAGATGTTCTTCAATTGCAGGAATGATGAACCCTATTTTGCCAATCAGTGCCTTCACATCTGCATCAGATCGTCCGTGCCTTTCAATGATGCTGACCAGGTATGTAAGTTCCCACCTCTTCCACGGCTTCGCCATCAAGTATGATTTAGGGGTCTCGCATGTTCCTTTGTGTGTGTTGAGGCCTGCTGATGCAGAGACTTCTGCTACAATGGTTGTCTTGATCTGCATTTGTTCGTGTGAATGGGATAGAAAAACCAGGTCATCTGCAAAGCCGAAATCGTCTAGTTGTATCCAAGCTGTCCATTGTATTCCGTGCTTTCTCTCAGATGTAGAGGTCTTCAGAATCTCATCACAACTATTCCAACAAAAGAGAGAGTAAGTAGTCTTGCCTGACATCGATCTTCATTAGGAATGCATCTATCAGTTGACTTCCACACACGACTTTGCCGTGGGGTCTGTCGTAAGAATTCCGTATGATAGTGACAATTTTCTCAGGTAAGTCATGGCGCTAACGCATAATTTCGGTAAATAGTAGTTCGATTTTATTATGTCCTGTCAATGTTTTAATCTTCTTGACTTTAATTATTCGTTATCATTACCTTTACGTTTTTACTTTATTCTTCGCCCTTTTCATATTCATCAAGTGGACGATTATTTTTCTCATACCCGATTTCACCTTATTATTTCTATTGTTCGCTGAACTGTCTACTATCATCGAGGGTTATGCTTGAATCCTATTGACCATAACATCACATCGGAGCACTAGGAATCCAGCTGGAATCTAATAGCCAACGATCAAACGATTATTGGTTGGTTGGGTGCTTTGATGAGTTTAGTACAAATTGAAGGCGGTTATCATCAAGAAAATGATATCAACCAGAGAATAGTTGCAAGACCGGGAAGAGTCGAACAGCTGTTTCGAATAATGATTAGTTCTAGATGTAAACTGTTGGAGGACGACTTAATGACCTAAGAGTACGGTGTTTGACACGAGACCCCAAAAACTTTGGTTTTGTTTTGTGTGATATGATGACTAAACACTGCTGAGGGAACCATAAGTACGACGTAATAGTCCTTCAGTGGTCCCTAGTTTTTAACGGTTCTCCAACTAATATAACTCTGTGATGAAAATCATCCTACACTTATGTTATGTCCCGACACGAATAATGAATGGTAACTTTTGGAATCTGTTGATGGACCAATACTAAACGTATATTTCTATTGCATAATTATTAAGTAACTAAATTCTGCATATTCATATTCCTCTTATTATTCACAGCCACATCTGGCTAATTCTTGTACAAATGTTGTTTCGTATTTTATTGGTACGTTGTGGTCTGTTTGATTGGTATATAAACAGAGTATGTTTGATAGACATGATTCATATTGCAGAGGCTGAGACTGGTTTTCTGGACTTAACTGGCTGGGCTAGGCGGAACTCATGACCAATCAGGACTCTAGGCTGCTCGCACGTGTTTTACGCGTCCTTGGTCCGATCGATAATTCGCTGCTTCTGATTGGCGGCTCTGGGCATAACAACTTATTATATTGCCATTCACTCAGAACACTTGACAATTGCACAACTGCTCGTAGTAAATAGGAGTGTCATACAGTAGTATAAAGATCGGCTTCTGTTTAACAAATTTATACTGGATAAATATAGTTTAATTATTTGAAAACTATTTTTAGTCCGAACCAATTACTTTAACATAAAATTAAGTGCTTACAACTTTTTGTACCATCGATGGACGACATCGTCTCATTTGTAAAATGATACCAGGTATATCATAATAAACACAATTGGATTCTTTATAGATTTGTAATAAATCAGCAACAATAAACGTACCAGTTCTACCAACACCAGCCCTGTTATTTTTAAGTAAAAAGTCAATTTACATACGTATATATATTCGATATGAAAAAGGTTTTGAAACAACGTTAGGTGAGAATCGGTAAAAGGTTTTTTTCTACTAACTTATCAACCGAATGATATTTTGCTCAGAGGCCTAGGTTTGATTTGGAATGGGCAGTGAACGCACACCGTTAGGGAGGAAAAAAGCTATTTCGTAAGTAACGTACACTTCATGAATCCTAAGCTTCGAGTTCCATCCCTAGAGATTACAGGTGTATACTGATAAGGAGTCTTATACTAAAACTGCAGCTGTTCAGTCCTCCTCAATTTTCGTTGCTCTTATCAACATAAATTATTCCTGTGTGAAAACCACTTTCATACTGAATTAATCTACACATTCTACTCAAGTAACTGATGAATCAATTTTATTAGATTATCACTTAGGAAGTGAATGTCCATATAATCAGCCTTGTGTTATGCTTTAAGAGCAAGGAGTGTTGGTGTTAC